GCATGTACCACCACATCTGGCTATTTATCTATTCTCTAAGAATATGGAAGCTTTGTTTCTAGTTTCTTCATTTCTTTCTTAGCCGTCACCAGAACTGCCTTCAAAGTTCATATTTCTACCAACAGTTCTTTCAATCTTGGCTTTTTCTAGCATACACCTTAAAACTCATTTAGCTTATATCCATCACCCAGTTCCAAAATCAATTCCAGATGTTCAATTATATATTACAATAGTATCTCATTGGTGATACCAAGATTTATATTAGGATTCTCCAGAGAAATAGAACAAGTTATAGATGGATAAGAGACATATATAGATTAGAGAGCTATAAACAGAATATAATTATTTTATATTGCATGTGTGTTGTATAAGGAATTTACTAGCATGCTTATGGAAGCTGAGAAGTCCCATATCTATAGTCAGCAAGCTGAAGAAATCCAGAAGAGCTGATAGTGTTGTTCAAATCTGAAAGCTAGCAGACTCAAAACCAAAGAAGAGCCAATGTTTCAGTTCAAGTCCAAAGCAGGAAAGATCTGTGTCCAAACTTAAGGCAGTCGAGCAAGAAGCGATGTGTCCGGCTTTTTGTCCTGTTTTGGCCTTTAGCTGATTGGATCACAGCAACTGCATTTGGGATGGCAAATTTCTTTACTCAGCTTGTCAACTGAAATGTTAATCTCATCCCAAAATATCCTGATAGATACAAATAGAATAATATTTATATCCAAATAGCAGGGGATCCTGTGGCCCAGTAAACTGACACATAAAATTAACCACCACACCAATTATCTACTGGACTGTGGGACTACAAGATGAACAAAGTTTCTGGTAACATGGGGCTTACATCCTACTGAAAGGTCATAAATAATTTCAAACATTGCTGAGTGGTAACAATGTGAATTAAGGAGAACAAGGAAGCGTATGAAGGGAGATATGAGTGACTAGAAACATTTAGCCTTATCATAGAAGTAGAGAGGTTCTAAAAACCTTTGGATTCAAGGATGCAATTGTAGTTATACTGTAGGAAAGGTATGTGAAATCAAAGTGCAGGGTGATACACAGAAGAGGGGTACTACAGACAGGAAGAGTATCTGGAAAACAAACACAGGGTTGAGGAAAGATAAAGGTAATAGGAAAAAGAAAAAATAAGATAAATGTATAGACTAAACGTTTGTGCCTCCCCATTGCAATCAATATGTTGAAATTCCAACCCCAGTGTAATATTATTAAAAGTTGGGATATTCAGAAGGTGATTAGTTGTTCTAAAAAATGCAGATATTTATTAAACATGTTATGTGTCACATACATTTAGGTGTTTTTATATTTCAACTGAGGAAGTGGCAAGGATATGAAGAGAAGAAAAACATAAAAAATTATATTAGAGAAATTGATCTTGTTGAAGACTTCACAGTTGATTTTCTGTTTACATGTGCCTATATGGGCATAATCATGTGCACTTGGGTGGGTAGGGTTGAAAACGAGGTTTTAAAAGGTTTAAGGTTTCAAGTGTGGGTCACTAATAAGGTAAGAATGACCTTTCATATAATCCTCTTTTTTCCCCTCATGAGAAAATGGGAGGGAAAAAAAGGATTATACAAAAACAAACAATGGGGGCGGGGGGAGATTAAGAGCTATATTTCTGACAAAAACAAAGCATCCAAGCAATCTTCTCAGAAAGTTCTAGAAAACATAATGAGGTAAAGAGACAAGCTGCATCACAAGATAGGTAATAGAGATTATCTGCAAAGAAATGGAACCTGAAGCAATGAGGTTTACTTTGATTACTAATGGAGACTGCAGACAAAATAACATTCTTATGAATTCCTATATAGAGTTGTGCTATCCAATACAATAGCCATTCGCCACATGAAACTATTTACATCAATTAAAACTAAATAAAATATATTTAATCATAGTAACTGCAGTTCAGTGCTTAGTAACTACATGTGGGCAGTGATTAGCATATTGGACATCGTACATTTAAAATACTTAAAACATCACAGAAAGTTCTGTTGGGCAATATCAATCTAGATATTGGTCAGAGAAGGAGGAAATGACAGTGTATCAAGTACAGGGTTATGAAACAAAAAAACAAAAATGAATTTAGTGACTTTTAAAGTAGTAGCAGAGTAATTGTAAAGTTATAACAAATTTTGGATTCAAATGGGTAATAAAAAAGTAGAAGTAACAGGTACAGGTAATTCTTCCAGTAACTTTTCAGTGAAGATAAAAACAGAATAAAACCTAACACAGAAAAAGTATAGAGCTGTGTATAGATGTGCTCCATATAAGCATGTTTGTGGACTCAAAGGTCTGGGACACCCCCCCACCCCCCAATTCAGCTATCTATCTACCAACTCTACCAATCTGAAAGACTTTCATCAGCAATGAAAACTGATAGGGAAAGAATCATACCATTTTAAAAAATAAAGAGCCTTAAAACCCATCTGATCCACCCCTCACATTCTATAAAAACCAAGGTTGCCCACAGTGATACTAAAAAGTTTCATGGTACTAAAATCTAGAATAAAAATTCACATCTTCCAAATCATCGTCCATTAGAATTCCTTCTTTTAGGGGTGAGGGGAAGGGGTGTACTAGGAATTGAATTCAGGAGCACTTAAACACTGAGCCACATCCCCAGCCCTATTTTTATTTTATTTAGAGAGGGTCTTACTGAGTTGCTTAGCACCTCACTTTTGCTGAGGCTGGCTTTGATCCTCCTCTGCTTCAGCCTCCCAATCTGCTGGGATTACAGGCATGCGCTACCACACTCAGCTAGAATTCCTTCTTCCTAAAATACAATCCAAAGGAGAAAGTTGTTTCTTTTGAGTTCTAATAACATACCAAAAAAAAAAAAAGGTTAATATGCATAGAACTTCATTTTTTTAGAATAGTTTTACTTTTCTCCTTTAATAGTGAGAAAATCCAGTAACTACACCTGTCAACTATTTTGCAACAAACCTAAAAAAAAAAATTTTTAACTATTATCTAATTAAATTGTTACTGTAACCTTTCTGATACTGGGGATTGAACCCAAGAGAACTTTATTACTGAGCCACACACTGAGCACACTCAGTAATTTTTTTTTTTTTTTTTTTTTTTTTTTTTTTGAGACAATGTCTTGTGAAGCTGCTGAGGTTGGCCTTGAATTTGCAATCCTCTTCTCAGCCACCAGTCACTCAGGTGACATGTGCACTACTGAACCCAGCTGTTTTTACCATTTCAAAGCAGGGAAAGCATGCAACCAGTCAGCAACGTTGCAAAGCCAATAACATTATTAATTCTGCTCTACACTGCAATGAGAAAATTGAAGAGAAAATGGGAGAAAAGCGATGAATATGGAAGAGAATGGAATGAGATGTTCTTTACAAACTATGAAAGGAACAAGAATAAACTAATTTACAAATGCCTTTAGTAAAAATAAAACCAAACAAGTAAACCCTTCAGATAAGTATTACTTAATATAAAAAAATGTTTCAAGAAATTCTAACATTGATTGCCCTCTGCAAAGGGAAACTGTGTGACTGAGGACATGGACTAGAGGTAGGCTTTTCACAGTAAACCTTTTGTAACTTCTGGAACTCAAGCATTATAATGTATCACCTTTTTCAGTAAACAAGCAAAAGATTTTTTTAAATCTTCAACGATTTAGTTCCTGCCAATAGTTTATAATTACTAGCAACCTACAATCTTCCAAAATGACATAGAAAATTGAAATTTTAAGACAGAAAAACCCCCCAAAAGGCCAATTTTACCTGAAGAGACAAGAGAATTGCCATTTGGAGTTAAGGGGGATCAGGAAGGGAGAAAGTAGATCATCTCTAACAATTACTATTTTATCAAACCAATTCCACTGCTATTATTTTTAGCCCATTTTCTTACATTTGTTGCTAACAAATCCTGTTGCCTGAACGCAATTTATTTAGATGGAACCTACATGAAGTAAAAGAAAAGCAATGATCCTGAAACACTTCCAATTTAAGTATTTTTATTTTATCCAGTCCATTTTGGCACAACTTATTTATGTCCTTTCTGTCTTTGAATAGCACTTCTTTTATGTTGGGAATCCTCTTGTATTTAAACGCAGAATGATTATAAATTTTTAATATAAGGCTTTGCAAGCCAGTATGCTTGAAAGGGGAAGTCAGTTATGGATTCTCATTCTCTATTCCTACTTGTCTTTTTTTCTTGAAAATACCGTTAACTGCAACAACCTTGCAACGGTTATTTTCATATGTAAGCTTTTAGAGATATAAAACCTATGAACTGAAATCACATTTTGGGAAGGAGATAGCTGAAGACAGTGCAAAACAAGCACGAGGGTAGGCGGATCAGAGCGTTGGGGCAGGCGCGTGACTCCAGGGAGCCTGCGTGGGCTGGGGTGTCGGATGGGATCCTGCTCAAGATACAACCACATAAAGAAAGGCTGGAAGCAGGTGGGAAGCCTGGGGCCTCGCATTTCTGCCTACTCAGTTCCAGGGTCTCTTAACGACACACACGTCATTGCTTTCGTAACTGGTTCAGATTGAGACTCAAGGAACCCCACTCAACCCCTTTTGGACTGGAATCAACCTGGCTTTGCCGGTTTCAACCCAGTTTTTCTGCGCTCTTCTATCGTCCCCATAACCTCAAATTCATCCAAACTAAAATCTCGCTATGGTAGAGATTAGAAGATGGGCGACTCAGTAAGCTATTCAACCCTTCCCTCGCTCGTTTTTAATGTCCTTCCAATCAGTTGGTTTCCTCCACACGCGGACAGCAGAGCTAACGGCCGGGCAGGTCCAAGAAAAGCCAACGTGGCGGTAACGGGAAAACGGGATCCAAAACCTGCCAATCAGCTGAACAGCTCGGCCTACGCCCCGCCCACTGCCCCTGGCAACCAATAACCTCCACACTTCTTCCGTCTCTCTCGCCCAATCAGAGTGCCCCGCGGCGCGTATCCAGTGCTCTGATCGTCCGCACACGGCAAGCCCGCTGTATGCGCGCTCTCCTCCTCTGCGCTAGGCGAGCGGGCCATCTGTCCTTCCACCCTGAAGGTGGACAGGATGATATCTGCTACCACTGGAGGCCCAAGACCCCAGAAGTGATTCCCCCAAACAGCAGTGAGGCAAAAGGAAAGAGAAAGGGCTGCCCAGGAACGCCCACCGCACACGATTTCTCTCAACCCGGAAGTGATTCTCCCCTACGCCCCCCTCCACGGTTGAGAGGGAGGAGACCCAAAGCCAGGTCTGCCCGGCATGCCCTGGGCTTCCGGTGACCTCTGGCCCTTTCCTGCCGTCCGCTCTCGCTTCCTAGCGTGCTCTTTTGCTCATTGCTTTCCTTTACTTGGTCGGGTCTTCCTTTTCACACTACCTAGTGACTGTGGCTCCCGCGACTGTCAGGGAGGCAGTGGCAGAGGACACTCGACATGGCCGCCTCTAAGCCGGTGGAGGCAGCAGTGGTCGCAGCTGCTGCGCCCGGCTCCGGGAGTGGAGTGGGCGGTGGCGGCGGGACTTCGGGCCCGGGCACTGGGGGTCTGCCGCGATGGCAGCTGGCTCTGGCTGTAGGAGCGCCCCTGCTGCTGGGCGCGGGTGCCATGTATCTGTGGACCCGGCAGCGGCGGCGCCGGGAGGCAGGAGGCCGGGGCGATGCTAGCGGCCTGAAGCGCAACAGCGAACGAAAGACCCCGGAGGGCAGGGCCAGTCCTGCCCTGGGAAGCGGACATCCCGAAGGTTCCGGTGCCCACCTGGAAATGGTGAGAAGCTGCCTCGGGCCATAGAGGTGGAACCGAGCGGATGCAACGTTTCCTTGAAGGGTTGTGCCGGTGAGGGGGCTTCCTTCCCATCAGTTGGTAACTGCTAAGCGGCAGCACATGAATTTAGAAAATCTCGTTTCTGGCTGTTTTGTAGAGAATGGAGTAGCCCGAGAAGACAGGTTTTCGATATTCTTTGACATTTTCCTTTAGGTTTCAGAGGTCTTTTCTTTAGCTTCTCAGTGACACAGCAATTATCTCTGTTAGAGGTGGTATTGGGAACATTTGCAAATGTTTGTATAACAAGGAAGGAACCCAGATTCCAGTGATTGGTACGTTGTGACATGAATTGCTTTTGTTATTTCCAAGGCCTAGAACTAAGTTGAAAGAACCTTTTAATAACGAACCACTTCTCTCTTGAAGGTTTTTTCTTTGGTGCGCGGGGGGGGGGGGGGGGGTGTCATTGGCAACTACCCCGGCAAAGGCGAAAAAATTGATTAGAAAGCTTTGTATATACAAAAAAAAAAAAAAAAAAAAAAAACCTTCCAAAGACTAAAATAGTGGTGCTATTTTCCTTTCGTGTTTTTTATTTTATTTTTTATTATATATTTTTTAAATCTACAGGAGTAAGTTCTTAAACTTTTTGGTTGCAAGCATCTTAGCCCCCCTACCACCCCGGAAATGTGCATCACCAAGCCTAACATGCTTAATAAACATTCTTTGATGTTGGGCCAAGCATTAGTCTCTGGTGAACTGCTTTGTATGATTTTGTGGAACTGACCATTAAATCCTTTTGGTATGTAATAGCTATGGAGAATTGGCCTGGCTGCTTAACAATGCCTGAATTGGGTGAGGTGGAAGATTTTTTCTGAATCTGGAGTTGCACAGTGGTAGTACCTGACCAAATCAATTCAGAGGAACTTATGCTGAAACAATTCTCAGTTGTATACACATGTAAAACTTTTTTTATACATAGGCAAGTTACACATATGTGAGTCATTTCCATTCCTTTCAGGCTGAAGGCATGTTTTTGCTAAGTAGTCAGCTTTAATGCAAGTTTTGATGTAGTAATGAATTACTATATGTTAGTCTTTTTTGGGGGGAGCATTGTGCTAGCCCATGCAAGAGCTATATGATCATTCCTATGAAAGAATGAAACATGGCCTATTTTTAATCAGAAAAGATACAATATAGGGAAGAACCCATGAGCTATGAAAACTAGGGAATGTCACTTAATATTGGGACCTCCACCACTGTTAGTTTGGAAAGTCATTTTATCTCCCTGACCTTACTATCATCCTAGTAGAACAAGAGAATTAAAATATTGAATCACTTATTTCGTTTAGCACTGAAAATTGATTCTCTGAATTAGTTATGTTATTTTCATGTTAATAAAATTCCCTGGTCATTTCCTACTTCATTTAATTTTAATTATAGAAGAACTGTAGATGAATGAAATGTACACAAAAGTACTCAATTCTCTAATAATCATTAAAAATAAAGATAGTTGTATACATAAAACTATGTTTTGACATTTTTTTTATAGCTGCAACCACCCCATCTCATCCCAGGATTCTATACCATTGGTATTTGATAGAATTTAGCAAATTTCCTGTCAGTATTTAAATTTCTTGAAATCCCCTTTTCCGTTTTGCAGCATTGTCTTCATTTTTTAAATTTTATAAGTAATATAATCTTATATAACTTTGTAATGTTTTTATAAAGAATTTTTTATTAATCTATTAAAATTTAAACTTTAAGTTTGAATTCTGGGTAACTTGAATTGCTTTAAAATTATTTAAAAAACTGAGCAAAACACTTGGCATATACCATTATTCACATGGTGGAATCTGGGCTTCTACATGAAATCTTGCTTTGGATTACTAGATTAGTAAAGCAACAAAAAGAATGTTATTTACCACAAATCTGTATGTTTTAAGTGTTGGTGATCAATAAATATTGAAAGGCTTTTTGACATTTTTTAAAGTAGTCTAGCCGTAGAATTAATATTAGGTTATCTTAATATAACTGATCACTAATTACAATTTTTTATCTATGGTTGGAGTAATGTTTGAATAATACCTTTAAATTGATAACCTCAGTGTATTTTGTAAATGGAAAGTATTTGCTTCCAGTGATAGAAAAACTGACAGAATCTTGATACCTTAACGGGTATTTCTCCACCTGACCAAAACCTATAATTTTTTAAGAGAAGGAAGGACAGATACTGTTAAGGGTCTAGTATCGGCAAATAGAATTGAAAAATCTCAGTTTTGTCTGTTGGCCTATGTTTGCTTTAATGTAAAATGAACAAATGATGTTTTGTCTTGAATTTGGGATTTTCATGTGCAGTGTAGGTTGTATTATCTTTTTTTATGGGATAGCAAAAACTTGCAAAGCAAATGCAATAGCTATTCATATTTGTTTTAACTAATGGGAATTTCAGGATATCATTAAAGAAAAGCATCTAATCATAGTTGATAATGTCTGAGATTGAGGTACTTAAAGTATTAAATTGAATATATTTATATTCCATTTTAAGACATTATAAAATTCGTCATTATGTGCCATTTTGCTTCAGTAAGTTTTTTTAAATTTGAATTATAGATTTTCATACCTGGAAGAGTTTTCTTTGAAGATCATCTTATCCATGGCACTTTTCAATATGGATTTGAGTTATCCTAGGGACTACCAAATATATACCAAGCATGGCATACAATCTTATCCCTCACAAAATGCTTAGGAACTAGCCTTCCAGAATAGAAAGGAGAAGACATACCTAAACCTTTTAATAAAAGGATCATTGACTTTCCTAAATGACCTGTTTCTAGTCATTTTTTTAAAAATTAGTATGGATCACCAGTGAGACTTATAATTAATTTTTAGTGAACACCTTTCAGTAACTATCCTTTCTTTATCTTTAGCAGTATTTCGCATTGTTTTCCTTAATAAATTTTGCTACTGAGACACTACATTTGCCTTATTTTTTAAATATTCTGACACCTCCCTCCCAGAGTCTTTGCTTTTTCCCTCTCCTTTCTTAAGACTCCTTTCCAGTGTCTTTGTCTGCTTTTTTCTGTTTAGTGACCATCATGGTTCTATCATAATCATCACTTTTATATTCCACGTATTCCCTGGATATTGCTAGCCCCCCAGCACCTTTGCCTGTTTAGCCCTTACACATCAAGGGCTCCTTAATTTGTCTCTAGCTCAGACCTCTCATGAGGTCCAACTTAGAAAATGTCTTCATTTCATTACCTCACAATTATTTTACATCGTCTCCTCTTTTTCCTGAAAGTACCCCTTGTAAACTGATGCACCTTATCTAATTTTTCAAACCAGAACATGTCCTTCTTTTCTATTCTCATGTTCTCCACATCCAGTCTATAAACATACTCAGAAAATTTTGCATCATAAATGTCTTAAAAGAGCTGACTACTCCATTCCCACTGCTCTTATTTCTCAACTGAATAATTGCTCTTCTCTTTATTAAAGTAAACCTTCCCTATTAACAATTGCATCTGTGGAGTCAACTAATTGAAGATGGAAAATATCCAGAAAACAAACTGCACCTCTGCTGAACATGTACAGATTTTTAAATTGTATTTATTCCCAAAATGATACAATATAACAGCTACTTAAGTAAGACTTACATTTAAGGCACACAGGAGGAGGTTGGGTATGATGGCACATGCTTATATTCCCAGCTGCTGAGGTTAGACCATCCCTGAGCAACACAGGGAGACAGAGGAATGCAAGAAGATGTGTGTTGGTTATATGCAAATACTATGCTATTTTATATAAGGGACAGGAACATCCACAGATATTGGTATGGGAAGTGGAGGTTATGGAACTGATCACCTGGGAATACCAAGAAACAATTGTATTGTCCTCTTATCTTTGATGTCTCCATCAGTCCCATACATAAAATGATTAAGAGGTTTTCCAGTGAAGATAAAATTCAAACTCTCTATCATGGTGTAAGACCATGATATTAATTCTGCTTTAATCTTCAATATCTCTTGCCACTTCCTCTGGATTCTGACCTTTGGATAGTCTATGAACACTGCCTGCTACCCTTTCTGGTCATTCAAGTCCCAACATTGAGACTTTTTTTTAAATACCTCTTTACCTAACCACACAACAGTGTAATTACATCACATCCTCGATTTTTTTCTTCCCTCACACTTATCACATGATAACAGGGTTGCCTATTCTTGTCTTGAGTACTATGCTCTTGAATCTGTGAAGGCTGAAACCTGCTGTCTTGTGTTCCATTGTATTCTTAGAACCTCATACAATGTCTGGCATGTGGCAGGTGTTCAGTGGAATGAATGAAGCTTTATTCTTTGAATAATATTTAAGGGCTTTATTGACATATTACATTCATCTGCATTTATCTACATGTATGTTTATATGTGTGTGATGTTTTGACTTAAAATTGTTTTTTTTTTACTTTATGACGATGTGAAAGCATCACTTTGAATTTTGGTTTTTTTTTTTTTTTTTTTTTCTAGTCTAGTGATAGGCCCCACGATACTCTCTTGTGATACTGGGCAGTGATAGTGAACTGCAGTTCCCAGCCAGCCAAAGAATTACCAAAGTAAATAACTAGGACTTTATATTATACTCTATTATTAAGCTCTGATGTTTAGTAGCTTAGCCATATATATATATATTTTAGCTGTAGATGGACATAATACCTTTATTTTGTTTTATTTTTATGTGGTGCCAGGGATCAAATCCAGTGCCTCACACATGCTAGGCAAGTGCTGTACCCATGAGCCACAACCCCAGCCCAGCAGCTTAGATATATTAAATGGTTTTTTGTTGGTTGTTGTTTTTGGTAGAACTGCATATTGAATCTTGAAGTATTCTGCCTCTGAACTACACCCCCAGCCCTTTTTGTGTTTTATTTTGGATAGGGTCTAAGTTGCTGAGGCTGGCATAGAATTTATGATCCTCTTGCCTTAGCCTCCTGAGTAGCTGGGATTAAAGGGTTC